CTTCATTTACTTTCTGTAGCGATGTGCCCCTTCCAGTGTCTAGGATGCGCGCTGGCAAAATCGTAGGTAAGGGAGAAAAAAGCTCATTATACTCTCGACTCTTGTTCATTAAACATTCTTTTTCATACAGTACCTGCCAAAAGTTTTGTTCAATCATGAATANATAACTGAAGTTCAAAATGATTCAATGATTTAAATAAATATTGTTCTTAGTTTTTAACATGCGTCTATCATTTGAATGATTGTATTTATTACGTATTCCGTACTCTCATACGCAGATTGAAATTAAAATTTATAGTTGGATATCTTGTCTACTATTGATTTCCCAGTCTCATTCCCATTTTCCAATCATTAAGATAAGATTAAGAACGTGATTTTAATTTTAATACCATAAATCGAATAATTTTCGGAAAATTTACAGTTAAATTCCTATAATAGGAAAAGTTTCACTTGCATCGTGGTTTCATAAAACCACACAAATGTTTTTTTTTTTTAATCGTTTTTAATTCTTTTCCAATCCCTTTCCCAATTTTGTTCATTTCTTATATATTCGTTGTACCAAATATTAGCGGCACTCTCTAGGAAATTCCCGAAATAAACAATTTTATATGAATCTGTCTAACCATTACACGCAGTTATTATATCATATTTTGATAAAAAGGTTAGGGCAGAATCCGAGTGGTGGTATAAATTTAGAGGTAGCTGGTTGTTTTGTTTCCGCAAAAGCATTTGATAATGTAATAGTTTGCATGATTTAGTTTGGTGAATTAGTGGGAGGTTTTTGAGGGGTTGGTATGGCTAGTGTCGTTGGTAATTGCGGTTGATTTATTTGTAGTGTGGGTGATTCGAGCGTTTGTGTTATTTGATTTATATGAATCCGTTGTTAGGTTATTTGGGTTATTTTTAGGGTTCTGTAACATGTAGGTAAGGGTTGATGGGATTGTAAATTCAGCAGAGTTTGAATTTGTAGCCTGATATACTTTAGCTAACTCGAATGTAAAAGTAGATGGAGATAGTCGGGGTGAGCTCCTGGACAAGGATGATTAGGGTGTGAATGGATCTGTAGTAGTACTACTATGTGTTGGCCTGAACTCTTTTGAATTTGTTGCCCCTGGGTAATTTTGTTACTTTTTTATTCAACGTTTGCCTCCGAGCTCGATCTTTTCTGACTGCGCGTTACCCTTTTTTGTTCGTCGCCCATTTAAATTAAATAACGCCACATACTACTTCAAGTTGATTCCAATACATTATACTTAAAAAAAATAAAATTTACGCGCAATTTCAACAAATTACTCCCGTTCTAAAATAACATGTTACCTTTTATGGTTATGGTTACCAAGAAAAATTAGAATTGTCATAATTATAATATTTAAAACAAACGAATAAAAAAAAATAAAATGTAAGTGAAAAAATTTACAAAATACGTGATCTACAATTGAGGGATATCAGTGCCTACATGTCACGCGGTATTTTATTAGTTTTTTTTTGTTAATTATTTATTTTAATTATCTGATTATGTGTTTTTATTATTTTGTCGTAACTGGACGTAAGGTACTAAAATGATAAGAAAGGCAAGATTGGAAAACAATAGCAACTTTAAAGTATAGTAAAGTAAAACCGATATGAAATTTAAAAAGACGATATGACAATTACAAATAGATTTTGAGTTAGTTGTCAGGTAATTTAGATAGATAACATCACAAATGAAAATTGAACAAAAACGTTTATAAAAAGGATCTTTCTCTCAATGCAGATCAATACACCGTAAATGTTAACTAAATCACTTAGGTACATTGATAGGAGCGCTGCAATCATCCTGACCAGGAGGTAGTGTCACCAACACACAGGGTTATGGTTTTAAGCGTATCCTCTTAAGGGTAGAGTCTTTTTGTTAACGCGTTATAAAGTCAACCGTCCCCGATTAGGCTATCGATCCCCGTTCACGCGCTAAACTTTATTATTCGTACATAGTTCAATATGGATCATTCACTGATTTTAGAAATTTCCTNCTAGCAAGGAGATCGGGCTGAAACTATAGCTACAAGCTATCCAAGGATGGTACTATAGAATGTCACCTCAAGGTAGGCCTAGTGGCGTCATCTCTTGGTTAGGCCGGAAACTTATCAATCCACCCTCGTATAGCAATACGTCACTGATATTAGTAGCAGAATTAGAATTGTATCCCCAACCACTTGCTATCGCCTCAGATCCCACAAAACTATTCGAAACATCAGCTCTACTGGGAAGTGCAATCAGTTGAACGTACTCTGCGAAAAACTGTATTAAGTTTGGTTAAAACGCAAAGACAATTAACGGAATTTATAGTTTAGGTCCAAAGCGTGATTATGGAGAAGGTTTTATTTAAACGTCTTCAAGAATTCTCATTCTATAAGTATTAAATAGGAATTTGAATGCTACCAGAATTCTAAATAAAGTCGACAAATTAATTCTTACTTTAATTAATAAATATGTTTGGAGGTTAATTATTAGGCATAATAAATATTTGAAGTAAAGGAAATGTAGTTACGATTAAGATTGGCTGGTGTTGGAAGATTAACCATGGCTAAATCGTTCTCTACTGAATTATTACTATATAGTTCATGTATTTTGAAATTTAAGGTTGGAATGCGTTGTTGGGTAGATTCATTTTGCCGAATGTTATGCGCCCCCAGTACTACTTCCAACGCTACAACTCTGATAAAAGAACGAACAGTAAAATACAGCAAAATTTATTGAGCAAAGTAGTTAATAATTAAAAGTAATTGTCTTACCTACTGTACAAACAATGCGCAGCTGTTAACACGTGTCTTCTGGTAATAAGAGACCCTCCACAGAAACTTCTTCTTGAAACATAAGTAAGGTTCAAACCAACCTAATTAAATAAAACCATTACGAATTTGTTCACGCCTAACATTCGCATCCAAATTTCAACACAGTTTATCTCCAATAGCCCCCTACATCCTCCCAGAATTTCTTATATCCTAATTTCAACCCCTCCTAATTGATAACAATAATAGTAATAGTTGAATTCTTGATATAAAATATTACCAGAATAACGTGATATACCCAAGTTAATTTTTTATATTATTTTGTCTTTATCATTTAAAAATTGTTCGTTTTGTTAAACATTCCTTCTGTTAAAGTTTATATAAACATAAATCGATTTATGTAAAGAGCACACCCCGTTGAAGATATAAATAAATAAATATTAGTACTTGATATGGTAAAGAATTTGGTGCAGCTTCATTCCCTCCCACAATCCTTACGTCATCAGAGAGTGGAAGCTGACGAAGTTCTGTGGGAATTTCAGACAAATCTCTAGTTACGTAAGCCTGCAAAAACGACAACAAATTAATTCACAATCGACCTAATTGTAAGTTAATTTCACTGCTTTACCGTAACTAACGAGAATGTTATGAAAATTAAGACAATCTTTTCCATTTCTACTCCTAACAGAAATACTGTACAGTACTTGGTAGAATCGCGCTTTATAAAGGAATGTTTAATGTTTTTTCAATCTTTCAGATAAAGCTTGTAATTAATGTAGTGAAAATCGACCCTGAAACGAAACCGACTCTATTTAGTGCGCGGCTACCTGGTGAAATTAACAGATGGAACTAAATCGAACCTGTTTTTAGTTCACTATATATATACAAATCTCTACGTAGGTACTTGAAGTTCATGTTATATATACTGGCATGTGTAAAAACTAATATGTGTTCTGTTATTTACGTATTTATAATATTGTTTTTAACTTTATTCATTTTTTTTTGTTCCTTATGTATATGTTAAATGTATATATTTTATTGTAATTTTTGTAGATAAGATAACGATACAAGTGCCTGTTCCTTATATTCTTTTTTTACCTTCTAAATTGAGAAACATTCTATGTGTTAAGTAAGTAATCATTTTGTATGGCTTCTTCTTTAACACGATTCATGAGAATTGATTTATAAAGTCCACCCTTCGACTGCATTAATTAGGTACAAGTACGGTATCTATTTCCGCGATAATTTCACATTTCAACCGATACAATTAAATTTTGGGCGAATTTGTTTCAGGGCCCATTTTGTCCCAGAATCATCTAAAATCTGGTATTGGCTCTGATTTAATATACTTTATTGTTATTGAAAATTGTGTTGCTGGTAATTCCAATTGGCTTATGAANACTTCATCATCATCATCATCATAAGGTCGTCAGTCCTAAGACTGGTTGGAGACGCACCTCCACTCTTTCCTATTATTCGCATTTCCCTAAAGCTAGATTTTTTTTTTATGTTTTCGTGGAAGTGGGAAAATCATCAAAAGACACCCAGCCGCCCGTACGACTGGGTAGTGTGGGATTCCCGAAGAAGAAAACCTCGGACCTACCGACTAAAACCCCTCTACCTCAGGCCGTTCTAGGACCAATGAAGGTCCTCTTCAGCCGCTAAAGCTAGAACAACCCATATCCTTAACTATTTGCGAACAGCAATCTAATCTAGATCTACCTCCACCCCTCCTAACTACCGTTTCTGCCTCTAATATGTCTCTGACTAGGCCCTCATGCCTAAGAAGGTGTCCTACTAACTTATCTCGCCTATTTATTGACTTCCATAGAGTCCTCTTTTCTTTTACTCTTTCTAATACCTCTTCGTTTCTAACCTTCTCTATCCACGGTATTCCCATCATTCGCCTGTAACACCACATTTCGAACGCTTCTAACCTTTTCTTTTCCGCCGCGCCCACTGTTCATGTTTCGCACCCGTACAGCGCCGTGCTCCAAACATGCACCTTTAACAACCTTTTTCGAATTTCTAAATGAACCGTTCGCGAGTATAGAAGTGACTTGTTTTTATTGAAGGCGATTCGACCCTACGCTATCCTCAGCTTTATATCCCTACTCCTCCTTCCGTCCTGACTTATATGACATCTTAGATACCTAAAATCGGTCACTTCTTTTAATTTTTCGTCTCCTACTTTTCCTCTCCTTGCATACCAGTATTTTTGTTTGACTTTTATTTATTTTCATGCAGTACTGTTTTGTCAATATCGCTGCTATTTTATTTAAAGCTCTCTAAATTAAGTTAAATCTCTCTAACTCCTTCCTGCTAGATGCTAATACTGCTATATCATCTGCAAATCTAAGCATACTAATTTTTTGCCCTTGTATATATATCCCTTTAAAATGACGCCCCTCTTAATACAAAACATTGGATAATGTTCTGTCTATACAATTACATTCTTGGGATTATGCCCCACGTAGTTCTCTTTTCTTGAGACTATTGTGTGGGAAATTTGTAGGGAATAAATAGGTGGTTAATTTCTCTTAAATTTAGGAATTATTTCGTAGGTTTTCAGGGAATTCGGAAAATTTCCATTGGCGTCGCTGGGACGGTGGCTGGTGTTGTGGTTTAATGGATTTTGACGCTCTCGCTATGTTGGCATCTTGTGTGGTGACACCGCTCGCACCGCCCTACGGCTGTATAGTGCTAGCAAGGCAAGTATGACCAAGAGGGGCAGCAACGTAACCCTGAAAATGCCTGCAGCAGTTGTACGTGAAACGTCGCAAAATAATTTCCAAAAACAACGGCCAGAAAGCCCTAAAACAAATAATAATTGTACTGAGGAGATTGGCCTTAAAAGTTTACTTTTATTTACTTAGATACCATTTAAAAGGATGCAATTCCCGTTTCAATCAGGCATGAAGAAACGGTTAGGGGTTGGGTTTGGTCAGTATTTACAAAAGCAATTCCGAATTGTTATAAATTTCTATATATAGAGAATAATGTCAATTAAACTACGTAAATTAAGTAGGTTGTATAGAAAACGAAGTCACGAGATTGGAAAAAATATGTCTTGAAACGGAAAATCATGAATTTTAAGGTACCCATCTGATGTACGACATGACATATTTTGAGAAACTTCAAGTTAATCTAAACAGATAACGAAACAAAACTTTCATAACAATATATTACGGAAATTAGTGACAGCTATANTTGTTTCGGTTTTTTAAGAGCGGTAGACCTAAGAATATTTTTTAATTGTAAATAATATTTTTATTGCTATTAACTATCCAGTGCATGCTTGGATTATAAATCGTGAAGTTTTTCCACGCTACACGTGTCAGCCGCTATCGTGTACTTCAAGCCTTTTTGTGTTTTTTTTTTTAATTTATAAATTGATAAACCTTTACAAAGTGTCTCCGGAGATAATACTAAAAGTGTGTGACCTTGCGACTTATCTAATTCATTTATACTCATGAACATTTAACGGGTCAAATCTAGATTAATCCGCGTGAAAGTACTTCCTAGTTTGTAATAAAAAAAGCTATGAACAATTAAAAAACAGTCTAGGTTGCTAATATTCTTACATTTAGATCGATAATGTTTTATCAAAATCGATATAGCCGTGTCGAAAATAGGACCGTATAGACAGAAAAAAAATCTTTCGGTTAAAAAAAGGGGAAAAATACTTTACCTTTTTTTTTAGATGTATAAGATAGTCTAATACGGCGGTCAAAGTCATTCTTACCACTAATACATAAAGGTTCTCGACTCTTCCAGTTTATTCTAGTACACTCTAGCTAAGGGCATTCCAGAGACACTCGAGAACATTTTGAATATGCCTACAAACAATTAAAAACATTTTATAGTGATACATTGTCACTTATTCTAAACGGCTGGTGACGATGGGCTTACAGGTTCACACGTTGGAGAAATATTGTTTGCAGTTTTCCACAACATAATATTGTTATGGTTGCGGTTGATCTTTCCGAAGAAAACTAATAGAACTTCGAATTAAAGAGGCAACTTATAATGTAAAACCCTAACTCCAATATTGACTTAGAGAAATGGAGAAATTCATGTTAAAGTAATAAATATAAAACAATATGTACCTATGTATTCCAAGGGAACAAAAAATATTCAAACTAAGAAATATTTGGAGTTACAGATATTCGACTTACGGGAGATTCGACTGTCAATCATTTATTGTCAGTAAAAACTGTTTTGTAATTATGTTATGTGCATTTCTGTTGTCTTGTATACTACATTATTCTTCGTTATCGCAAGTATCAAATGACGAAGCACAAGTACCTACTCGTGACCTTCACAACTGCTCGTTCGCACTAGAAAATACGGTACTATGCGAATTGACTGGCGACATCACACGGGAAATGGTTAAGGCCAGCAAAGACGACGGGTCCGTACTAGCGAAACCGTTGTGCACGGCAAACAGGAATTCCGCATGATACGACGTGGAGGATTTTAAGGGAGAATTCCCTATATTCGTGCCTTTATCGAAATAGATCATACTGTAATGTTCGTGGGTTTAACAAATTAACTTTTAAGACTCCCAAAGACAAAAAACTATCTATTTACACTAATTATTATTGAACACTATTAAATTATTACTAACTTAGGTGATAAATTACTCTATTTATTTACAGTACTGTTACTAAATCACTTTTCACTGCTCTGTCAATTTATTTCTAGATTCACTTCTGCAACGGTCAATTTATTTCTATTCCACTTCGGCGATCGTCTCTTCATTTAAATACTCCCTTGCTTCCGTCAATTTATTTTTACTCCCTCTCGGCGATCGGTTCTTCCTTTATATACTCTTTTGTGTGTGTCCTTTCTGGAACTTTCTCGAGCCGTCCGGAAAAGTTTCGTCTTCTTAGAACTATTTAATTGCTTACCCGGAACGTAGGTACGACACACACGTTTACACATACGGCGCATATAAAGAAAAACGCCCGCGGCTAGGCGGCGAATCGATAAGCCGCTCACACACACGTATGCCCGATCGCACATAATCACGCTCGTGGTCGCTACAATACCTATGGTCGAGTTCAACACATCATACGTACCAGGATGTACCTTCGTTGTTTTTGCGGATTGCACCATACAAAACAATTGGTGGTGCATTCCTTTCTTGTCATCGTTCGCGTACGAAACTCCATCACCGTATTAAACAATTACGCTAGGTAATCCAGGTCATCATTACCTTAGCAGTTGGAGCTTTAGGTGAGGTCACTATCCTCATGTTTATGTATATCACCAGATGGTGCGAGATGACATTATGTTTCTTTTTTATGTATCTTCTTCTCTCTTAATTTTTCCGGGGTACTGTTCAGATATAGTGCATAAAATGCAAGGTTCTCGAACATTCTAGAGACATTCTAAAACAGTCTGGTTGAGGACCCCCCCTGGAAACAATGAAGAATATTCTCGTATATTCTCACTTACGTATTTCAAACGAGTGTTTTGTGAGCGGTATTCGGCTCGGAGTCTCACACCTCTACTCGGTTGGAGAAAGATCGAAGATTATAGAAGATTCCGAAGATTTTTTTTATTTATAGTAGAACACTGGTCAAAATTTGTGAAAATGTTCTAATATAGTGTCAGAAACCAGCCCTACAAGGTACATATACTTAATAATCCTCGAACAATCTAGAACGTTCTCTCTCTGAGAAAAATAGTAGACATCCTAGTGAGAACAAAGCTAGAAACATTCAAGAGCATTGTAGTACATTCTCACTTATTCTAAACTGATATTTGGTGGACGGTGGCTGACTCGTAAACCCACATCACGCATTTCAAACTGGATACATTTCAAACATTAAAGGAGATTGCAAACATTTTTTTGAAAACATCGGTTGCAGATGTCCTAGGTCGGCCACTTAATCGTACTTAATAGAAACTAGCTATTATTATTTTTACGTTAGTCGTGGAAAAGGATGAAAAAATTGGAACGAAGATACTGCACATCCTTTCCTTTTTCGACTCCTATGTCAGTTTTCTTCCCCATTTTACATATTTTGCAATTTGTTTAAGTATACGAAGCACTCATTTTGATAAAGTGGTTACCTATATCTCCTTGGTATCGGCTTTCGTCCCTCGTTATTATGATATAAACTAGAGATGCACCGGATAATGATTTTACTGGGTACCGGTACCATTAAATACCACCCTCACCAACGTCCCAAAGCAAACATTAATAAAAACCAATAAAAAGTTTTATTACTGAAAGACGGATTTTCAACAAAATACAATAATTCAATTCAAGTATGTTTATTTCTAATATTCGCTTCAGTGCACAAATTGTTCTCTTAAGAAAGGTTTAAGAAATAACAGCATCACTGTTTGCATCAATCCAGTTTAAAAATGACGTTACCCTTGAAAAGGCGCTCGGTTCTCCACCTTCACAGCCATTATAACCAACAAATGAAGCGACACCAACCTGTAACAGACACAACAAAGAACAATAACATTGCTGTAGCTCCTTTTGTAGGTAGAAAGAAATAAATAAATCGGAATTTCTATGGTACATATACAATCGAGTGTGACAAAGAGGTAAATATGTTATGAAAGAGTTCCTGCGTTTCAACTCTTGACAAATGACCTAGAGAAAGTATAAATATGATGTAAATAATTCAATAAAACAGTCTAACACAAGGATCATTCTTATTTGGATACTGCAATAGTATTAATCTCGAATGCTGCAACAGTGTCAGTACCTATTCATCAAAGATACAGAAATGTGTCCAACATTGTTATAAAACCCGTTCTTATCAGAACCACAATTTTTGATAGTCATAAATCGACTACACTTGTAAAACATTCTCTCACATTTACGAACATTGAAGTATTAGTTAGAAAGAGATTCTTCTTAAGGGAACGAAAGAGATGCGATTTCTTCACGGCCACGACCCATCCACCCCAAACAAACTATTACATTTGACAATGGAAGATGCACTGCTAATAATAGTCACAACTTGTACACAGTGGCAATGATTGATTTAATATACAGTAAGACCCCGCTTAACGCTGTTTCGGTTTAGCGCTCTTTTATTACAACCCGGGGATTCCCCGAAATTGTCTGACCAATTTGTTGAAAATGATCCAAATTTTGACAGGAGTTCAAAAGCAAAATGGCGTGTTATAGGGCAAATACGGACAAAATGGCATATATGGACAAAACGACATAGCGGGTTTATTTCGAATTTGGCGGGCTATAGCGAGGTCACGTACATAACAACACGTGACGGGGGTCATTTTTACAATCCTGCGAGAAACCCAACGCGATTGGGCCAGTCTCTTTGAAGTTACGAGTGGGAACGTGTTTCGTGTCCATAAAAATTTATTTTATTTATGGATTTATTTGGATTTTTGGTGGGTTTTGTTATATTTGTATATTATATTTACTAAAATTGAAGACTTATGATATAAACTTGTGATTTGAGTTAGTATTAATAGAATTTTCAATCGATTTAACTAAATATGATTTTTAATGTTTGTTGTGTACATTTGGGCAAAATGACATGTCTATACGTTGTGTGAAAGGACGTGTTACTGAAGATGCAGATTTAGTACCAAATGTGAAGGAATCTCTTACAGTTAAGAGCACTAGAGCAACTTACAATGATGGTGTGAAATCAGGCACATCAAATTCACTTGAATTTCCAATTGCAATAATTTTGCCAGTGTCGCAAGGGCAATTCGTTCGAGGCCAAGAAATAAGGAAACTCAAACCTGTCAAAGGATATAGGCCTTTAACTTCAACTCCAAATATGGAAGAAGTTGTTGCAAACAATAGACCAAAAGATTAACCAAAAAGAAGAGAGATAAAAAAAAGTGCCTTTTGATGATGGCAAACGTAATAGCAAAATCCTAGTTCCAAAAGCTCTGAGATTAAAACTGCAAAAAAAAGGCGAATACCAAAGAGGCATCGACAAAATGGTTTTTTTGATTCGTCCATTTATTTCTTAATATTTAATTTGATCTCGAGCCGTCCGGAAAAGTTTCGTCTTCTTAGAACTCTTTCATTTCTTTCCCGGAACGCAGGTATGACACATACGTTTACAGATACGGCGCACATGAAGAAAGGCGCCCGCGGCTAGTCGGCGATTCGATAAGCCGCTCACACATAAATATGCCCGATTGCACACAAACATCCTCGTGCTCGCTAGAATATAATGCACGAGTGTCGAGAAAATCTCTTTGCCCACACCTTACATTGGTAGCGTGAGCAAGGAGGATTCGACAACAACACCGGACAATTAGACTAGCATACGCGGATGGCAGCACAGAAGGAAGTAGACTGCAGCGTTCCATCAAAACGATTCATTGGTTATTATTTTTTGCAGGTTTCCTCGCAGGAGGGTACATGACGTACCAAGGGATGAACCCTAATTTATTTAATTTAACGTGGTGATTCCTACTTAATAGCATATCCACCACGGCCCTCAGGGGAGCGGGATTGAGATACCCTCAATCAGCGGGCGATGACTGTCACCGTTACCAGGTCCTTCCATGTGGTTAGCAAGACCATCTGGAACCCTCTGGTGCGGGCGGGACCTATCTAATCCCTACCAAGCTTAGTAGGCTTGGTACCTGAGCGGAACGCAGCTCATCCGTTACCACTGTCACTACGAGTCCAACCTCTGGTCACCCGGGCAGACAGGAAAGATCCCTGCCTGGGGCACCCGGACCTCCCGTAGTACCAGTCAGCATCACTGGTTGGATGTTCGGAACAACAAAACTACTCCTCCCAGTTGGATTACTTGCAACTTTCCGCCGAGTCCGTGGCTAACTGCCTTACACACCTCATGGCTGTAAATGGGGAGTTTGTTAAGCCAAAGACCAGCCTTGTCATGCGGTAAATTTGAACTGATTCACTTTCGGAATTTTACCAGAAAAATCTCTGATAATTCGTGTCTTCAGGATTTATTTTGGCCTGTAGAAACATTTTCTCCAAGTCGAATGAGAAGGCAATTTGATGCATCTTGAAGCGTATGAGCAGAGAAAATAATTCTGTTTGCAAATTAGGGCCCGTCATCAAATTGTCGTTTAGACTCAACCTGTTGGTCGACTTTGCCCAACCATCATACACTATTCGTATCTTTACCTTTTGTCTGGCTTCTTTTACTATGCCCGAATGTGGCAAATAGTAAGTGGTATTATGAGCGACTTCACCTTCTGGTGCTCTTTCCACGATATTCGACTGAATGAGCTCTTGCATGGCGTACAAATCTTTGAGTTTACGATCCCTTTTGAATCTCCTTTCCAATGACAAGAACCTTCTGAGCGCAACTCCGCTTGAGTCACGTAATTCTACGTTTCCTTTCTTGAATGGTAACTTCACGACAAATCTACCTTCCGATGGATCACGCATGTACGTGTTTCTAAACTGTTCTTCACATTCTATTTCCTCTTTGAACCACTTTTTCTTGGATTCCGGGATTTCTTCCTGAATCCAGAATTTTTCCATGACTCTTTGAAGCTCGTCGCTTTCATCCTTTATGGCCAGGTTCGCGACTCGATTTCCGGATCGTCCCGAACTCTCTAAATTATAAGATGCTCCCCCAACTACCCAACCTAACAATGTTTTTGTAAGGAACAAGCTAGGATTCGACAGTCTCCTGCGATCGTCGCACAATAAATCCCAAAATACTTCAGCCCCTAATAATAAATCAACAGGACGACTTTTGTTGAAATCTGGATTCGCTAAACAGATGTCTGACGGAATGGAAAGGTTTTCGGTATTGAATGAAACGATGGGCAAATTTGAAGTTACACGTTCTGTGATACAAGTAATGGGCATTTTAAATTTGGAATCAGACGACCTGATCCATATTTCGACTGATTTTGAAATTTTGGTGTACGTGTGATTAACTCCCGATACGGAAATAGTCGTGTTTGTCGGGTTTAGGCCCAGTCGTTTTCATGTAGCTGTCGACATTAAATTTATTTGCGATCCGACGTCTAAACGCGAGCGACATTCTTGGTATTGACCATCACAATCTTTTATCCAACTTTTGATTTAAAGTGATTTACTGTAGCATTAACCTTGGTTTCCGGTTTTGATTTGTTAGCAAAGCCGTGATTCGGGGAATTAGATTCCGAACTATTCTTAGCGCTCCTATCATGTAGTAATGTATGATGTGTGCGTGCTTTACATATGCTGCAACCTTTTGCTCTACACGCGTTTGTCGTATGATTTTTCCTCAAGCAGTTAAGACAAAGATTCTTATTCTTTACCTCCTTGATGCTATTGCCGATATTTAAACGGGAGAAATCTCCGCATTGGTTTACAAAATGTCTTTTGTCGCAATATCTACAAGTTAATCTCGTCGTAACAACGTGAGAGTTCCTTCCTCGACTGATAATATAATCTATACGACTATATAAGAAAAGCATCCCAAGGATCTACTTGAATGTGCATTACCTTTAATGCCTCTGAATTCACAGAAATGTCGTTCACTAATTTGCTCAAGCCCTCCGCCGATGACTTCGATAATTCGGGCGTATTTAGAATCGAATTTACGTGACTGTACTATCAGCCTAGCATTTTTATATCTCTTTTGTAGTATTTTAAGTAATGAAACTTTTGAGAGTCGTCTAACGTATTGTTATTATGAATGAGGCTGNTTTAATCAGCATTGCACCCGTGCGAAGCATAGTGTACAAATAATATCATCAACCCCTATCCCGGTATATTTGTGTGTTTGAAGAAGTTTCACTTCAGTAGCGTGTTGTATAATTACACGTTGTATTTTTTTTGTTAAACATTCATTCTATTAAAGTTTATCTAAATATAAATTAAATTATGTAATGAGCACACCCCGTTAAATACATAAGTAAATAACTAAATATTCGTACTTGATATGGTAAAGAATTTGGTGTAGCTTCATTCCCTCCCACAATCCTTACGTCATCAGAGGATGCAAGCTGACCAAGTCCGGTGGGAGCTGTTTTACGAGCACTTTTAATTTCTAACCAATCTCTAGTTACGTGAGCCTGCAAAAACCACAAAAAATTAACCCATAATTGATCCAAATTAGTATCATTACTTTACCGTAACTAACGAAAATGTTAAGACAATCAAGGCAATCTCCTTCATTTCTACTTGTAACACAGATAGGTTCCTACTGTACAGATCTTGTAGAATCCCGTTTTATAAAGGTATCTTTAAAGTGAATCTATTGATAAATTTCAGACTGCTTCGATATGATAAACAAAATATTTTCGTATCTTTTACATAGATAAATATGTTCGTGTAATTAGTGTTGCTTTATACTTTCTGGGATGGTGTGTTATAGGGAACATTTAGTTTTTATAATTAACCCAAGGAATGTATTTACCCTAAACTATTTGAAATGAACAGAGATCTCGTGAAATATTTCTTGAATGGGATAAAAAATCTTTAGTTAAATGTACAGAAAAATCCCTAGAAGTCAATGATAAAAATTTCTTCTACTTCTATTCTCCCTTGTGCGATATTTGAAGATGTGTTTCCAGCGAAAGTCAGGTTTTTTTATTTAGAATTTTAATATTATCTATATACATCTACTCAATTAAAAGACTGTATTATTAGTAGTCAATGAACCTAAGATGATTGTCGATGTATGAGACTGATTATAATTACAATAAATAAAGATATATGATTCAAAATCAAAACACCCTGTCATTTTCTCCGTACTTCCCCTAGATGTTTTATCCACTTATCAACAACTTCTAACAGAACGCAAAAGGAAAACGCAAACTACATTAAATGCCTTCTTGCTTGTTAGCTGGGTCTTACTGTACTTAAAATAGCATGTATTTACCAATTTTCCGTCGACGACTAACGGCCCGCCTGAATCTCCGAAGCAGAGCCCTTTCCTGCCCTCTCCGCTAGAACATATAGTTGCGGCTCTAACAAGCTGATTAAACGTCCTTCGACAAACGTCGTTTGATATAACAGGAACATTTATATATCGCAATACTGCACTGATATCGTTACCAGAACTAGAAGTGAATCCCCAACCACTTGCTCTTGCCTCGGATCCCACAAAGCTATTCGAAACGTCAGCTCTACTGGGAAGTGCAATTAGTTGGACGTATCCTGAGATAAAAAGCCGGCAAATTAGTTTTTACTTTAATTAATATGTTTAGTGGAACGTAATAAATATTCGAGATAAAGGAAATATAGTTACGATTGAGATTGGCTGGTGTTGGAAGATAAACCATGGCTAAATCGTTCTCTAGTGTATTATTGTTATACTGCTCATGTAGTTTGTAATTGGTGGTTGGAATGCGTTGTTGGGTAGATTCAGTTTCACGAATTCTATGCGCCCCCAGAATAACTATCAACGATTCAACTCTGATAAAAAAATAAAAAGTAAATTGCAACAAAGTATATTGAGCAATGTAGTTAACAATTAACAGCAAATGTCTTACCTAGTGAACAAACAATGTGCAGCTGTTAACACGTATCTTCTGGTAATAAGAGATCCTCCACAGAAATTTTGTCCTGAATCGTAAATAAGGACCAAACCAGCCTAAATAAATGAGTACAGTACAATAGTGAACGAGCAGTTCATCGCGAATTTGTCCACGCCTAACATTCACATCTAAATTTTTAACCAGTTCTAATATATTTTTTCCACATAAGTCTTACATCCTCCCCAAAATTCCACATTCCCTCAATTTTACATCCAAATTTCAACCACTCCAAATAAATTACTTCTGCCTTATATTTTGTCGTTTCAAGATTCCAGCAATCCCAAAGTTAAACAAATCAATTAATCAAACATCAAATATATGTTACCTATCGNGTTAATGTTTCTCCCAACTAGTTTTCCCCGTTTTCTCACGATTATATGGGTACAATACTTATTGTCTACTCTATGCTCATTGGAGTTAACAATTATAATATTTCATTTGTGAAGTGCAGTTATTTGCTTCGTGCTCTGTTCTACCACACCCAAGGCATTTTCGCTTCCTGGTCTCATTGCTCTTACAATTCAATGACGTAATGATAAAGGTCTTAACACCTGAAACACATAGATGGGAACACCTTCCTTTCCAGTTGATAGGAACTCCACCCGATTTGAAGCGTTTCCTTTGAAAAATTTCCAGGTCAGATTGTTCCCCAATAAGGTTGATTGCAACATGTGGTTTTGTGACATGCTGTAGGTTTCCCTGACGTCCAGAATCGACCATAGTTAACCTATTGCAGCGTTAAAGGTCCTCTCAATGATTTGCTCAATCTTCTTTCTTGTGATAGTGACATCTGTGGCCTTGATCGGTATTGGCACCCTGGCAGTTTTCCCTTGATCGCCGTCTTATTACTAAGTAGCCTTAGTTCCATCATTAAGTGTTGGTACGCACCATTCTTTTTGTATTTTCCATAAACAATCCATTCAACTAATAAATAATCAATCATAGAAAAGGTTTAATGAAGGTTCGATACGAAAACAGCAAAAAGCACTTTTAATTGTGATTCGTGTTTCCCGCTGTACCTTTCGACCATTCCAAGCTTGTTGCAGTTTCGAGCAACGTCCCTTCTGTCTTGGAGGATTAAATAACGATACTTAGTCAACCTCGTTAAATCCAGCAGAATTGGCTCGTCGATCGTATCTGGTCTTCATACGCTTACTTTCGAATAGCTGCTTCGTACGCACAGCGTTAAGGGTGACTTCTAGTCGTTTTCGTAGTTTTCCCACGCATTAATCTGTAGGTACTGGAGAGTCTCCAAGATAACCAAACATCTGACCAGTATTTTTCCAGTTGTCTCATGGATCGCGGATCTATACGCAAAGAGGAATAGTGGTATGTGTCAGTTCCAGTCAGTTTGGTGCTTGTTGCTGTTTAAGTTGGTCTCCAGAATAGCGTTAAATCATTCAACCAACCCATCAGACTGTGAAACTTAGGGCGTAGTCCTCGTTTCCGTAAAACTCATTAATTCAGTGAGCTTCTTGAACAAATCAGACTCAAAGTTCCTGCCTTGATTGGAATGCAATTCCATTTGTACTCCATATCTTCTAATCCAATCACTGTCAAGCTTTTCGGCAACTCAAATGATACCCTCGCGATGTACCGCTGCATTCGTTAATGACTTTTCGTCTTCGGTCCTTTACTGAAGGAACATGTTGAGCAATTCCTGCACCATTTCGCTTCTTCTTCGTGGTCAATAAAATCGCTTTTTCTATCCTTCCCCAAAGTATTCCAAAATGTCCCTCATCATGAATATCTTCTATGTCTTCTGACACTGTGTTCTTCTGCAATACCACTTGAAGCTTATTTGTTGTTCCATCCGGACTCTCCCGCATCCTTTTTAAAATGTCATGATCCAAGGTGAAGGAAATTCACTGGGCTCAATAACTTTTCGTTGTCTGGCTTAGATAGTTCAGATCCGCCCACGATAGTCGTGAGGTTACGGTTTTCTTCCATCTCATTATTGAATTAACATCTTCGTCTCTCCTCTGGTCTTCGATTAATTCCTCGTCTTTTCAGGATCGCTCAGGCTGAACGGTTGATAGATTACAACAGATTAATGCCAGTTCTTCCTTTATCTCTGCAGATAAACAATTTTTGCATTTTTCCATGCAAAGTCTCTGGGATAATGCATTTGCGTCACATTCGTATAGTCGCTGTAAATCTCGTGCTATCTGCCCATTCGNTAAATCAAAAACAACAATGTTCCCTGCAAACCTTGACAACCTTTTCCACATAGCGGAAAATTCGAAATATCCCTCCTTATTCTTTAAATACATCATAAAGGAAACCTTTATGCAAAATCAAACAATATCAAAACGTCAAAATTTAAAATAAAGATTTTTTTCATATAAAAAGAGTTGTACACTAACACCATCCTAATACCCCAGTTTGTCATTTTATACAAGGGTACCCCGTCGAATGCCCTATGGAAGCAGAGACATCTGGAGCATGTGGGCCCAGTCCCTTCTAGGTTAGTATCGCTGATTAGACTGAGATACCGAAACAGCGTCACACTATTTCTAGACTGCACGAAAACCACCCTGACCTCTCAACGATGAATAGCATTTAATTGTAAGAGTTTGATGGATATAGTTAATGTTTCTCCCAACTAGTTTTCCCCGTTTTCTCACGATTATATGGGTACAATACTTATTGTCTACTCTATGCTCATTGGAGTTAACAATTATAATATTTCATTTGTGAAGTGCAGTTATTTGCTTCGTGCTCTGTTCTACCACACCCAAGGCATTTTCGCTTCCTGGTCTCATTGCTCTTACAATTCAATGACGTAATGATAAAGGTCTTAACACCTGAAACACATAGATGGGAACACCTTCCTTTCCAGTTGATAGGAACTCCACCCGATTTGAAGCGTTTCCTTTGAAAAATTTCCAGGTCAGATTGTTCCCCAATAAGGTTGATTGCAACATGTGGTTTTGTGACATGCTGTAGGTTTCCCTGACGTCCAGAATCGACCATAGTTAACCTATTGCAGCGTTAAAGGTCCTCTCAATGATTTGCTCAATCTTCTTTCTTGTGATAGTGACATCTGTGGCCTTGATCGGTATTGGCACCCTGGCAGTTTTCCCTTGATCGCCGTCTTATTACTAAGTAGCCTTAGTTCCATCATTAAGTCTNGTCTTTTAAATCATCGAGCTTGCCAAGCTAACGTCTAAACCCCATACTAAAAAAATACAAAGAGCATTTTTAATATTTCATTTTTATGATTACTTGATGGTATACTAAAGCATGTAGTCAAACTATTCATTAAGGCAGTACTTACTAAATTATTTTTGCGTAACACCAATGTGATCGTACTCTAATTCCAATAGATAATTTTCGATTCAATCTTCTCTTAAACGATGACGATGTAGGCTAGAATAACAAAGGTTTGTTTGAGTTGTTACATATCTACATATTGAGTATAGATAATGTCAGTGGCGGACTAAGCCCGTCAGAGGTCCGGGGCGGCAAAGCTGAATGAGGCCCCTCAGCTTTTAGTTTTTTAGATAGTTTTTTTATTTTTTGTAAAGTGTTATATGTGTTTTCGTGCCTTAAATTTACTGAACTCCTTAATAACTTCTGTGAAATCGATTTCTTTTGAAATTTTTCTTTCTATTGAAAGCACGGCTAGATTAACCAGTCGTTCTTGACGCAACAAAAATCAAAAACGCTATTACACTTTTTAATGAAATTACTTTGAGCGAATAATATCGCGTTTATTACTTTTCAATTTGAAAAAAGGCTTATTCTTTCGCAAAATACCAGAACACACTAATAAATTATTAAATATCAACGTAATGAAATTTAATATACTTTAAATGAGGTCAATGATTATTTTTCGACGTAAATAGAATGTAGTGAATGTAAATGCGGGCGTACAAGAGTGAATTATTTGCACTTCATTCATTCAGAGATTCCAGGGGAAGTAGCCGCTACAAAGACGGGACTTCCCCCAGCGTATTCAACGCGTTCAGCAAAGTTAAAAGAATATTGGTACCGCGTAAAAACTCTAGGTGGTTGTAGTGTTTTGATCTTGATGAAATTATGAAGGTACTCATCATCATAAGGTCGTCTGTCTTAAGACAGGTTGGACACGTACCTCCACTCTTTCCTATCCTGAGCACATTTTAGGGTTTGATTAGGGGAACGCGGAAGCATTTGGGGTCCCCAAGACCGGAGGCCTGGGTCGGAACGCCCCTTCCGCCCCCCTGTTAGTCCGCCACTGAACTAGGTGCTTAAGAATATGTGTGTTTGTTTGGAACAGATAGAAACAATCAATATGCGTTTCTGACGTCTCATACTCAAACAATCTCGAATTACATTCTAATTTTTACATCGGATAGAGAGATAACGTTCTCAGAATCTTTGTATGGGTGATAACCAATACTCTTGAGATTAGTTTAAAAAACTTCTCCAATTTTTCACATTTAGGTTGACTTAACTATTTAGAATTTGCGTAAACTTCCCCAAAACGCATGTCATTGGGGTGCTCTATAAGTGAAATAATAACATTCATTTTCTTACAATTGGAAGAGCCTGCAACAATTGATCTTATTGAAAAATATATTATTAAAAATCCCACAATTTCATCAGACACATGCCGAGAATGCAACACATCTCGCGAAACAATTGACCACATCACTGGGGGTTGCTCATTTTTAGCTAGCCGACAATATCTCGACAGGCATAATAATGTTGCTAAACAGATACACTCGCTGTTAGCTAAAAAGTTTAAACTCATAGATCAGATAGAGCCCTACTANATTTTGGACGACCACTGTAAACTGCAAATTTTGTACAACTATTATTTGTACATATTTATGCTTGATAAAGTCACCCGACAACAGGCGAAATATGCGAAACGTTGGTGTCGGTTCTATAACCAATAAAAACATTATACCCTCTTTTGTCTTGATTATTTTATACACGTTAAAATTAGGGGAAGAAATAGCGAATTGAGTTTATTATTTAATGCTTGGGGTTTTATAAGTAATAATAAATACAAATCTAAATCATTGTTACAACTATACCACCCGATAAGGAATGAGCTGCTTTA